CCCCACCCCAAATCCCCCCTCCTATTTCCTCCAGGGAGAATGTATGAACAGGCTCGTTTAGAGATTAGTGCTGTTGCCATTTAAACTCCAGCAAATTTTGATGCTGGAGCCATGGCACAGCTCCCTGCCTGACTGAGGGCATCCCTGCTGCCAGCCCTGGAGGCACACAAAGGCATCCCACCACATTCCAGTGCATCCCTGAGCTCAGAGGGAACCGGCACCACCAGTCCAGGTCCTTATTCCCATGGCAGACTGCCACTGGGACAACTTTGTGTCCAGTGGTAACACTTACCCAAACTCTCCTTACTAAAAGCACCCTGAGCTTCCTTCCTCTCCCACACAGCATCCTCTCTTGCCCAAGCATCCCCTTCTCACCCTTGCTCCGCCAAGTTCAGCCCCCCACACACCCGTGTGGGCCCCCCCAACACAAAGCCCCATCTCTGAGGAGGTGACAGCAGCAGGTGGCACCTCCAAAGGACAGAGCCACAGCCCCACTGCCCCTTCTCTGGGGTTCCATCCCACTGGAGGCACAGCAGGGAGGAAGGAGGACAACCCAAGACACGGGGGGAAACTGAGCATGAGATTTGGAGGCACACTGACATCCAGCTCTCCCCCTGCTGCCTCCTCACACAGAGCCCCACAGAATCCCGTGCCTTTGGAAGCTTGGGATTGCTCAGACACGGGCTGGGAAGTGCTGACACGAATGTGAGATGCAGGGAATGTAACAGGTCCCCAGGGCTGCAGCTGGCTGATGTAACCCCCCGGCCTCATTAACTCAGTGTGGCTCATTAACCTCTCCCTCCCGGGATGGGACAGCCCCAAGCTGCCAGCAGAAGCCACCAAACTGAGAGTGGAACCTTCAGGGGTAGCAAGGACAACCAGTGGTACCCAGGGCCTGGGTTCATTCCGGTTCAAAGTGAAAGGGGAAATTTATGGAGGAAGTTCTTCCTCGTGAGGGTGGTGAGACCCTGGAGTAGGTTGCCTGGAGAAGCTGTGGCTGCCCCATCCTTGGAAGCGTCAGGCCAGGCTGGATGGAGCTGGGAGCACCCTGGTCTGCTGGAAGGTGTCCCTGCCCAGGGTGGGGGGGTGGAAGTCCACAATCTCTAAAGTCCCTCCCAAGCCAAACCATTCCTTGAGTCTGGAGCAGGGCTGGATTTTGAGCTCAAAATTCCACAGGGATGCCGTGCTCGTGGGGTGGCCACCCTGCTTGACAACTCAGCAGCAGCTGGACCACAGAAACCCAGCAACCCTGCTGTGCCCAGGGGTGTGCAGAAAGTGTTGGTTCTACCCCTCTGGCCCCCAGAAAACTGGAGCCCATCCCCTCCTGCTCCCACCAGCCAGGAAAGCACCTGGAATCCACATCTGGCCTCTCCATTCTCGCCACTCTTATTACCAACTGAACCTGGAAAGAACCACTTAACCTTTCCCCCAGGCATCTCTGCCTGACAGCCCGGCTCCTTTTCCTCCGCTGGCTGCCCTCTTCCAGCAGCCTCACGCTCCCTTCCTGCCAAACCTGGCATCATCCAGCCTCCAGCCAGCCCCCATCCCTCCATCCCAGCTCCTCCCAGAGCCCACCCAGCCCGAGAGGGATGGACAGGCAGGCATTTCCCAGCGGGTGAGAAGTCCCTCCTGTCCCTCCCGCCCGGCAAACTTCATAATTAGAGAGCATTCCTCCCCGGCTTGGGTAATGAGGGGGTGCACCCAGCCAGCCCTAATTACACCCTCAGAAAAAAAAAAATAAAACAAGCAGATTCCTCCTCTCCCAGCTAAAGGAAGAGCCCTGCAGCTGGCCTCCCTCGCTTCATACCTCTATTAAACCAGGACTGGATGGGGACAGGGAAAGGAATAGAGCAAGGAAGGTCTGTGCTGAGGAAAGGGTGGGAAGGAGGAGCTGGGCAGCCCTGTAGATGTTTCTGCATGCAACGGCCTTATGGATCAAAACCCACCTCACTTACATAAATAAATATAAAAAATGAATCAACTTTTCAGCTAAATAATCAGGTCAGGCTTCTGCAAAGCAGCCCGAGAGGTAAACTAAGGCGGGGTGCCCTCGCACAGGGCATCCCACCACAGCATCCCTGGGCATCTGCCACAGAGTCCCTGCACCCCCACCTTGGTGCCTCTGCCAGCCTCAGCTAAGGGAGTCCAGCCCCAATTCCAACCATCCCCAAATCCCCAGAGGAGAAACACCCAGGCTCTGGCAGCTCCTCCCATCCTGGGAGCTGGAAAGAGAAAGATTTATCTTCTTGAATATGCATTACACTGGAGTATTTATGGAGCCACTACTCTTTTGTTTATCTTTATGATTATGATAATCAAAGGCGAAGCCTCCTGAGAAGTGTAAACAGCTGAGATCCCTTATGGTACAAATCTCTTCATTTTTCATTATATGGATTTACAACAAGACACAGGCAGATTGGAGTAAATTGTTCCTTATTTCTGGTTTTAGCGGAGCCACGAGCTGCGCGGATCCCTGTAAATACCTACAGAAAAGAGAGTGAATTCAAATAAAAAAAGACAGAAAGAAAGAAAGAAAGAAAGAAAAAGGAGGAGGAATTATGTAGCAAATCCCTGTTACACTCTATTGTGCTGGCTTCTTTTGTGCTGTTTTATACATTCCCTTCAGGGAAGCAGTTTTGTTGGAAAACTATCTCCAAATTTCATCTAGCGCTGGTTCTTGTTACGGGCACAGACACTTCCCTTTGTGCTATTTTAATTCCATTGTCACGGTCCTCTTGTCGAGTTTGTTCTGTTTACTGAGCTACAACGTTATTTTTAATGGATATAATAATTATATGAACTTTTTATTTATTTGCTTTGGCCCATGAAAGAAAAGCACCAGCAGCGGAGAAGGCGGTAACGCGCTGTTTATTCACATGTACGGCGTGTGCTGGGCTCCTGTTGTGAAAAGAATAATCATTTCAACAAGAAAAGAGAGGAGGGAGAAGAAAACGAGGAACAAA